CAGACAGACAGACAAATCACAACAACATAAATTGTTAAACGACAATACTTTATCGTATTTTCTATTTTACTTACTAATTTATTATACAATCGGTGTTTATTTATTTAGTCGACTTCATTTGTTTTTTTTTTGGATACTTTTTTTTTGCTTTACGATGGTTTAAATGATATTATGTTATTATCTTAGAAGTATTTCAGGATTATTTCTTGATCGGTCAATGCATCGAGATCTATCGTATAACTTACAATAAAAAAAAACATAGAAAATAGTGATATCAATATTTTATTGTAACTTCTATATTGGGCAGGCGTAAATTTAGAACAGAATTGTCGAAAGCAGAGAACAGGATTGATTAACGTTATATTTAGATGCACACGTTCCATGCATATGCCATTTAAAGAAATAAAAAGAAAAAGAAAATATGAAACACGCAAAAACAGAATTATTTATACGATCGTTAAATTCTAATTCAAATTCAAATTCAAATTCAAACTTGGATTTCGACTTTTTCGATTTCTTTTTTGTCGTTCATTCTCCCGTGTCTCGCATTATCGTCATTGTCTAATCTCTGAATCCGTTCTTACGATCAGCTTTGGCTGCTTTCTTTTCCAATTCATCCCAATCTTCACCATTATCACTGTTTTCTTCATCACCACTGAATCCATCACTACCATCGTCTCCTCCACTGAAATCTTCACCGTCTTCCGAATATTCTTCTTCTGACATAGAACTTTCTTCATCATCACTAGGCTCTTCTTCACTAGCTTCATATTCACTAATTTCTTCTTCACTTTGGTCAGACCCTTCATCATCAGAACCAGTGGCTAAGAAACTCCAACCACCATCCAAGAAAAATTGATGTGGGTCTTCTTGCAATGACTTCATGATTGTACTCCAATTCAAATTAATCGATGAAACTGTATATGGAATATCCATATCTGTCAACCACTGCTTCAAGAAATCTAATGATTCAATCGGAACAGTATTGATATGGGTAACTGGTTTCTTGAAATCTTTATAAACAAAGACAACATCAAAATTCTTTAATCCAAATTGAACTCTTTCCAATATAGCGAAATTTCAATCTCTTCTAAATTGACAACTAAAAATGGTGGTTCAACTAATTGAACCAAACAATCCGTGGTTGGCATACAGAATACAGCACTTCTGTTTGGAACACCTTGAAATCCTAAATCTCTAAAGGTGCTCTCAACATTAACTAAACCATTGGAGGCTTCAGCAATGGCATCAGCAAAATATTTGAATTCTTTGTCCAAGGCAGCTCTTTTTCTTCTTTCTTCTTGTTCTTGTTCTAGTTCATCCTCATCACCATATCTTCTGAACTTCATTTGTGAACGTCTACCTGTACCTGTTTCGTCAACAGCCATATCAGATGCTTCACGATAAAATTGGATATCTTGGATCTTTTTCTTACCCATCAAAATTGGATTCTTTAAATGAATATGAATAATAACAATCAACTCCCCTTTACATGATTGGAAGAACAAATTCTTAATATTAGAAAATAAGATATCGATTCTACTATCAGTTCTTAATGGTGATTGATATCTAATACCGTTCTCATGAATAAATACGGTCGATGGAACACGCTTAGTATCCGGACTAGGTCTTACAAAGATTTGATCTAATCTCTTAGTTCTACCGGATCTATTTTCAATCAACTTATCTTGATGAACAACATCTGCCAAAGCTTTACGTTCTTGTTCTCTTTTGCTAGATTCTTTCTTCAGGTCTTGGATTTGCTTAAATACGTCGCTAAATCTGTCACCATCCTTGGATCTCAAAGTTATGGAACGAACAAATTGATTATCTTCAGATTCCTCATATGGCAATTCTTCAGTCTTCTTAGAGATACCAGCGGTACCTGGAGAATGGAAATTCAGACGTAAATATGTATATTCACCCTCTTCATTCTTAGAACCATTCTTATAAGAGTTAATATGAAATGGGACTGGTCTACCATAGATTGGTAAAATAACGGTTTGACTCTTCCAGTCAACATGTATTCTTACATTCACGAATATAACTAAGAAGTTGTGATTCACGTACATAAGATTCGTAATTTCTTGAAAAATTGGCGAGGTTCATTACCTGCTGCTCCAGCATCAGCTTCCACTAAACCTTACTAAACCATCCTTTTGTATCTTTCGTGTAATTTTCTTTGGTTCTCTTTACGGATTTGCTCTTTTTGGTTTTCTTCGGATTCACCACGAGCTTCACCACGCAGCTTAGTCTTCAAAATTTTTGAGTTGACTTCTGGTTTGATAGACATGTTCTTATTGGACTTAGCTTTAGACTTGGTATCATCTTCTTCGTTATTGAAATAGAAGGAGATTTGAGATCTAGATTTTGTACAATTGGTTAAAATCTTTGGTTCAGCGCTATCATCAGTTAATGGTAATAAGACTGTATCAGCCAATCTCAATGCATAAACTTCACCGGATTTAGAATCCTTCAAATTGGTAAAACCAATAGAGATATTGAAACAATCACCAGGTTGGATTTTACGATCCTCATTCTTAGCATTCAAAATGAAGTTAGCATCTCTAAATTCTAAACCGATTAAGAAACCAATATTTTTGGTAAAATGTGGTACTAATTCGGGTTTAACCTTTTGAATAAATTCAACAACAGATTCATATACTTCCTTTGAAGTCAAACCAACCTTTAATTTATTAGATATAATCTCTTTTTCAAGATCAACCATGAAATCATAATTATTAACCATCTCTTCGGATGGATCAATTAAAAATGTTCTTGAAACGTTAGAACAGTAGTTGTTGTAACGAATACCACATGATGCTAAAATACAACCGTTGCCATGTAGCTGATCATTAGTAGAACGGGCTGAAACTTTCAAATCATAATTTAAACCTGATTGAATGATTGGTGAGTAAGTCCAATCCAGAAGATCAATATTAAACTTATGACCAGATGGGCATAAAGTAGTTAAATCACCTGAAATTTTCTTTAAAAATTTAACGTCATCGATCTTATTTTCGACTTTATCAGATAACTTTGCGTTAGTGATTTTTAACTCTTCATCAACGGCACGAACCATTTCATCAGACAATAAATCCATAAATTTATCAGAACCCTTTGATGCTACTGATAACATAGCTCTTTCAACGTCATCTTTAACTTCCCAAGCCCTAGATAACCCAAGTGAGACATCTACTACATTGAAATTATTTTCTTTCACAGCTTCTTCCCAAAGTGGATTCCATTCAGTCATGAATTTACCTTGATAGGAATCCTTTTCTGGTTTACCTACTGTGTTACCCGCTTGTTTCAATAAATCGATGACATCCTTAAATAATTTATTGTTATGTTCAGGGTCTTTACTGTTTCTTTCCCATAATTCTAATTTAACAGATTCATCGTTAAATAAAGTAACAGCTTTCTGTAAATGTTTAGCCTTAGCAGAACTAGTAATAATTACAACTTTTTCAGGAACAAATGCAATTAAAGTGGCAGGAAATTCATAACTTAGTAACCAATTATGCAGAATAGTAGTTTTTTGATATGGATTTTCAGCATTCGAGGAGCCTAATACAAATAACAAAGAATTTGGGGAATTATCAAAATTCTTGTATTCAGAATGTAAAGACAAAAGTCTCTTTTTGAAAATATTGAAATCGATATTTAATTCTTCCATTTTCAAAAATTAAAGGTAAATTCTCAGTTTGAAAAGTTTGCAAACTGAAAAATACAGAGAAGAAATAGTCCTTGATTTCTATAAATTGTCCTCTAAAGATATTAAATACAATTTAGAATATAATATTGAAGTTTATAAGTTTCGTGTAGTTCTATCATCATTTATCTCTTTTTTATTTTAATAAATTAAATATTATTTCAACCTTTACGCGAAGTATTTTCGAGAACAATCCCGGGTAACTATTCATAAATCGTATCAAACTACAGACACGTGACATTCAACTCCAACCACGTGATTGACGATAACCGAAGTAGCTAATTAGCAAATCTTACTTACAATAAGTCTTAATTTAGACCCTATTTATAAGTAGGAACATCAAATTCCCCTACCGGATAATGTTTGTTAAATCCAAGAAAAATCATGGTTTTAATGTTATAACTAGCAGAGTAATATAAACATCTACATAATTTAAGATACAATTTTATCTATAGAAATAATTTGATTCAACCTTGAGTTGATAAGAATGTGACATAGTATAGATACAATACAATTCATGAAAAAAAGACCGTAAATGAATGGATACTTGGTAATAATATTAACAACGTCATAAATTCTTCATTATATTTGAAAAATTAATTGGGAAAGGGTCATCATTGTAAAGGTGCATAAAGTATTTGTGTGACATACTTCCTCTTGTATCTAACAATGGAAGCGACGCAAAGGGTGTTGTGTTTAATACTGCTGGTAGCCAGATGGTTTAACACGACATGGTTGGGGATTGGTAATGAACCTGAATTATTTTGGCCAGTTTCTGGAGAGTTGCTTGAGTAACTATTTAATATCACATTTTCCAGATGTGGTGGTAACTGAGGAGGTGTTAACCATGATAAGTTTTGATGATTGTTTTGCTGTTGGTCCAAAGTTAAATAGTATTGTTCCATAACAGTAGGATCTGTAAAAACTGCTGGGATATCTTGAGTATATTCTAATTGGGGTTTTAGTGGTTTTTCTTCACGGAAACGTGTGAAACCGTCACCCATATCATCAGGCTCTTGTTCAATTTCAAATGCAATTCTTGAACGAGCACTAGTTGGCATCTTTTTAGATTTTTTATTTGTTGTAGATTCTGGACGAGTAATATCTTGTTGATTATCATTAGCAACTTGGGATTCTTTAACCTGTGGTTGTTGAACCTGTGGTTGTTGAGCATGTTGTACCTGTTGCTGATTTAGTAGTTGTTGAGTTTGTAGATCTTGTGGTTGTTCTTGTTGTTGCTGTTCATCAGTCCATGTTTGAGGTGGAGCGACAGCTTCTAAATAATTAACGAAGTTACCCATTTGATCAGTAGCAGTCGGTAAAAAATCACTAAATCTCAATTCATTGTCGACAATAAATCTGAATTTATGAGTTCCTGGTGGTAATTGTAATTTTACATGTAATACACCTGGTTGACCGGGGACAGGCACTAAACCTATCATCTTTCTCCAACCTGTGAAAGAACCAGTAACATAAACCTTTTCACCACCTTGTTGCCAAGTAATATCTACAGGTACCATTACGGTATTTCTTTGTTGTGGCTGAGAAGATGGTTGACCAGCAGGCTGCTGTTGTGCAGGCTGGTGATTCTGTTGTTGCTGTTGCTGTTGCTGAGGTTGAGATACAATGGTTGAATTTTGATGACTACCATTTTGCAAATGAGAAGTGGAATCATTTTCATCACCTGAATCTGAAACCAAATCATTTGCATGTTCTTCATGATTGGAATAAGGTGGTATTTCATCATCATCATCAAAAATTAAAGTCGACTTATGTTTAGTGAGAGTCTGAGGTTCCAACTCATTTGGACCATCTATGTTCATTTGAGACAAGCTTTGAGTAATAGAATTAGTATTGCTAGCTATAGCATCCTCAAAATCTGTCATAGATACATCTTTTTGTGGGATATTCGAATCAGGCATCTTAGTATACTTTTAATATGAACGTCCCTTATCTTTCAACTTTCTTTACGTAAAAATGCCAATAACAAACAAAACACTTTTAAACAAAAAAAAAAGTCTTTATAGCTTTTATATTGTTCTTATCTAAGTTCCAACTTAATCAACGAAAAATCGAGAGAAATCTATCCTGAATCCTTTAACTTTTTTTTATTATTAGTATCACAAATATATGTATATATCTGCAATCTAGTTTCGAAAACTTAATCGTTTATCAAACAATCTATTGATATTCGATTCCTTGCCTTCGAATAACACTACTTCTCACAAACCAAAGAAGTAATAACTACCCAAAACCAAATACAAAAACTAATATAACAAGAATAAATATGTGTGAAACAACAGGTTCAGTTTCGAAACTATATAATATCAAATAACTTATAAATCAGAAATCGAAACTTTTTCCTCTTACTCTCTTACGTTAAAAAGAACTAAGCTTAAACTTAATATCGAATTTATTTGTTTTATCAATTTCGAACAAGTCTGGAGGTCCAGAATAAGAAAGTTTCCGAAGTGAAGAGACTCGAATAGAGTATGTTCGAGAGCTTTAAAGTTGTAGGCAAAATGTAATTTGAAGTCTGGTTACTCAAGCTGTGTGGTTGGCATCCAGATGGGTGGTGATTATAATGCTATATCTTCGATCAAGAAGAGCCTTAGCTTATCTCTTGTTGTAATGTATAATGAAGTGCCAACTGGGTAAATACGAAGTAGGAGATGGATCATAAATAAGGAAAGAAGATGAGAGAGTTTTTGGGAATGGAAGGGGGTGAGAGGGATGATGGGAGGGCAGGGAGGGGGAGGGGGGGTTANGAGTNGTGGATTAGGATTTGAGGTTGTTTTGATATGG